GGGGGGGGGGGGGGGGAGGAGGACGGGAGGGAGAGAACGCGTTATTTATTACGCGCGCGCGTTCTGGAAAGTAATTTTCTCAAGTGCCGTATAATAGTAGTAGTAATGATACATAACGAGATGAAACTAAAGCGAAATGAAATCAAAATGACACGCGATAACGGACAAAACGATAGTTACGTACGTTGAAATAGCCGAAGCAATTAAATAATTAAACAAAGAGGGAGAGAGGCAGAGGGCAGGCAGGACGTGATTGGTTGTCGCGGCATCACGATGGGCCGCTAAAACCGAAATCCGCCCGGAGGCATTTCGTTCAATATTTGATGGCGAAATCCGGCGGATTACGGATCCTCCTTGGTCCTGCTCGGTCACGCTGCCTTTGGATAGGCTTAGACGGATCGAGGTGACGCGGGCACGAGGACACGCGGATCTAGGTGAAAATGGCCGATGGTGATGGGGAGAAGAGCCCCTCTCTGTCGAGGAAATAACGCGAACCCGCTTTCTTCGGCCGCGTACGCACGTGTGAGCCGCGAGCCGCTCGTTCCTTTTTCCGTTCTCGGGGGATATATTCGCCTATTCGGACGAAAGGACAGCTCACGAACGTAGGATTCGCGTATGCGCTCCGGGCACGTGCGTGTACGCGCGATTAAACGACGTTTGAAAACCGCCGGTGCCACGTGCGCGATTTGCAGCGTTTGACAAAACGACGCTGGAGCGCGTCGTTTCGAATTAGAATCTAAGGATATAAAATTAAAATAACAATTCCATTAGGCGGAGAGGGGGAGAGAGAGAGAGAGAGAGGAACGTCAGCAGCCGCGAGGGGCTTTAATAAACGCGTTTTTTTTTCCTTCGCCACGCGATTCGACTTGGCGATGCTCGTAATTGCCGGCGAACAAAAGCGGGATATTTTATCTCCCGCGCAGATGCACGCCCACATTGCGATATTATGAAGGAAAGAGAAGTACTTATTAATAAAGTGGTTTGTGTTGGACTTTCTCTTCATCGCTGCCGCCGCGATGAGCCGGCCCGATCGATAGAAACGTTTTGTCTCGCGTTGCAACGCGAGCCCGGATTAATAACGTCCGAGGCAACCGCCACTTCGAATTCGTCACCTTGCGTATTGTACGAGAGGGTTAAGCGACGGCTGACGGCGTTCTCACGAGGATGAAGAGAGGGTCGAAAAGTTGCACGACGACGCTTACTTAAGGTCGCGAGGAGCCGTCTGATGGCCGCAACAGGTGCCACCCTCGCTTCCATCCCCGCCTTTGGTGTAATCGCGGCTTTCTCTTAATCCCCTTCGCAACTTTTCATCTCTTTCATCTTACGCCGTATATTTCGCAAGTTTGTTTCCTTTTCCCCGCTCGGAGGGGATTTTGGGAAGCTCGTTTAGAAAATTCCCCGGGCGATCGTTAATTTTCACTCGTCGACTCGACGAATCGTCCTCGTCAAATTTCATCCGAGCCGAAATTTTCGCTCTACGTTGAGACCGATTCTCCGGGCGCAATTAACGATTTTCCTCTCGTTTTTCCCCGCATTTTCCCCCACCAAGAGGTGAAATTTCCTCTTGCCACGGCGTGTCTTATACTTTTGCAAATTCCGGAATGGCGTTCGACCTGTTTAGAATATATACGAGCAAATTCGCGAGATTCGTATGCGTGCATCCAAATACGTTGGAGACAATCTCTCGCCGTCTATCCTCGCTTACCTCGGATCCCGTCGGGTTTTTTCTTATGAGGAAGAGGATCTCTCTCTCATGCCTTCGTGATTGTGCGTCTGATAAGATCGCGTGATCGCACGCCTCATCATTATCGTGTAAATCTGTCCAACGCTATTTTCAGTTTTCTCTTCTCCGAAAGTAGACTCAGGTGGATATTGCGGACATTCCTTGCCGAAATGAGATTTCTCTCATCGATTCCGCCATGGTTTCAGCGACTGCGCCTTTTTCAGCGCGAATGTGAAGAAACTGTGTCCTACGTGGATCGAGAAGAACGTCACTGACGAGGAAAACGAGAAGGTAACAGCGCTGATGGCTTCTTTGATCTCCCGGTTGATCGGGCAAAAATGACGAATTCTTGAATTTTACGCGCTTTCTCGCCGGGCCAGCTGTCACGCTGGGATGAGCGCGACGGCCGAAAAAGCGAAGCGAGAATAACTCGCGGCGAAGAAAAGCGGCGAGCAGTCGCATTCGCGTTTTATCACGACGCTCGCGCTTCGATCACGGGGCTTTTAGTGGCTCGTAAAATAAATTTCATCCGTAAATACCCGTAAACGCAGCGTCGCAGCTCGACGCAGTTTGTCACGGGGGTATTACTGTCGTGTATGATGCTCCGTATCTGCGATACGCGCGTTGGAAAAAATATCGGGTCAAATTGTATGAAAATTCGAGTACGACCAACGATCGGACGTAGAAATCTGAGGCACAAAATTTCACCAACAGTCGAAGACGGAATAATCGAGCAATTGTGAGTGAGAGAGAAGAGAATTGATTGAATTATTGAAGAATAATTTTTACAAATTTTAATCATTTCTGTTTTCAAATTCATACAATTCTTAGTTTGAAGATATCGTTCTTCCTGTCCGATATCTTCCCCTTTCAATTGATGAAAAAATGGTTTCCGAACAAAGATATGATATTTTCAGAGTCACATAGAATTTCTTCACACAAGCAAATTTTATCTTCACATAAAATTATACATTCTATATAATTTTATGTGATATTCTTACTTCTGTATGAGAATATGAGTCTTGAACTGATACTAATTTTTGTCGCATACGCGACATGTCAGGTGTGCATGCGCCGTGTATCGCCGCCGTGATCCGGCCGGTCGGAATTGTGATAGTAATTTCGCAGATTCGCGGCGTCTCCTTTAGAATTCCGCTAAGATGACATGCGCAGAATCGACCGGATTCGCGTTAAATGAAGCGGAAGGCCCCACCGTCGATCCACCGGCAGGTTCGACGATCTCTCGCGCTCGGATCATTCACGGTCCGGCAAGCACGAGCTCTTTCCGCACCGACATCGATCATCGGCGGCCCACTCGGAAAAAGTTGCGTCGTGAGTGTCAAGTATTTCCGATTAAACCGTGCACCTTTGATGGATAAGCGAACGAACGCGTCTCCGGACTCCTCCGTATATTATACGCACATACAAGGCCCCCTCCCCCCAATTCCCTCTTTTCGGTCACTTCGAATTATCGATTAATCCTATATTACCACCTCGCGTTGCCGACAATCTCGATAATCTTGACGAATGTTTGCGGAACGCCCGGGATCGCGTAATATCGCTCCTACGGCGATATCTCGATAAAGACCGAGAGATTATGCCGCGCTCTACGGAGGACTTTATTTATGTCACCCTTTATAGATGTCACAAAAAAAGCTTCATTTACTCCCTCCCCCTCCCCCACCCCATTGTAATGCGTATTCCCCGGCTTCTCGTCGCATTTCTTTTGTCACCGACACGTGGCGAGGACCTTTTTGTATCTCAATCACGCTGTGTGTACGAAGACTCGCGCGGCAGCGGAGCCGCGGGAACAAAGGGGGAAATAATAATGGCGGGTCGAATAATGGCGCGAAGTCTTTTCTCGCGAGCGGCGATATATTTTCCTTCTTTTTT